AACTGGAATTTTAAAGCTTACAATACATATAAAACACTCAAAGATTGATAACATGAACTATAAATTTCCCATGTGCTAAAAGCAAAACTTCCATGGAAGTATCAAAAGAGCCTACATATCTTGAAGGATTTAAAAATGTTCTGCTTCAACATTAAAATATTATCTAGGGCCGGGCGCAGTGGCTAACGCCTGTAATCCCAGCACTTTGGGAGGCCGAGGTGGGTGAATCACGAGGTCACGAGATCGAGACCATCCTGGTCAACATGGTGAAACCCCATCTCTACTAAAAATACAAAAATTAGCTGGGCATGGTGGCGCATGCCTGTAATCCCAGCTACTCAGGAGGCTGAGGCAGGAGAATTGCCTGAACCCAGGAGGCGGAGGTTGTGGTGAGCTGAGATTGCGCCATTGCACTCCAGCCTGGGTAACAAGAGTGAAACTCTGTCAAAAAAAAAAAAAAAAAAAAAATTATCTATGTGTTAATCATTGTCTTTGATATATGTCATTTTTAACAGAATGGAAGTATTTAATATTTTAAATGTAAACCGTAAAATGTTTATAGCTAAAAATACCACTCTGTGTTACTTAGACAAATAATTTTCAGTAAAATGGTTTTGCTCAATTTTTTGTTCTCATAGCAAAACGATTTTAGATTTTATATCCTTCTGGGAGAGAATCTTAGTTGGTCTTTTTAATCTACCAAACAGAGCGTTTTTGGAGTGTAACATTCATAATATCATGTTAATAATATATCAAAACCAAGATAGTACCTGGAAAGAACAAGTGTAACAGTACATGCCGAATCAGAATTGGCCATAGAAGGAGAAATTGAAAGCTCAACTGAGGCCAAAGAGAAGAACAGTATTCTGAGAGAAACCTCAAGAAGAAGGGCCAAAATGGGCAACCTGCCAGAGCAACTGCTAGTTTCCACTAACACCTAGAGTTTTGATTTTATTTTTCCAGTGTAGCTATTCCTCAAGGACCTAGAAATAGAAATTCCATGTGACCCAGCAATCGCATTACTGGGTATATATCCAAAGGATTATAAATCATTCTATTATAAGGACACATGCACACAAATGTACATTGCAGCACTGTTTACAATAGCAATGACTTGGAACCAACCCAAATGCCCATCGATGATAAACTGGACAGGGAAAATGTGGCACCTATATACCATGGAATACTATGCAGCCATAACAAAAAATGAGCTCGTGTCCTTTGTAGGGACATGGATGAACCTGGAAAGCATCATTCTCAGCAACCTGACACAAGAACGGAAAATCAAACAGCACATGTTCTCACTCATAGGCTGGCATTGAACAATGAGAACATGTGGACACAGGGAGGGGAGCATTACACACTGGGGTCTGTGTGGGGCAACTAGGTGAGGGACAGTGGGGAACAGGGAGTTGGGGAGAAATAACATGGGGAGAAATGCCAGATATAGGTGATGGGGAGAAGGCAGCAAACCACACTGCCATGTGTGTACCTATGAAACAATTTTACAGGTTTTTCACATGTACCTCAAAACCTAAAATGCCATAAAATATAAAAAAAAGAAAGACAATTAAGATGCAAGGTCTAAGAGACTATGAAGTCAACTAGCTTTATTATTTTGAATTACAGTAGAATGCAGCATAAAATAGAACAGTAACAAGAAAACAAATAACAAACCTTGCACACATTAGAATGGAAAGTTTTGAGTTCCCAGAATAAATTATAAAACCAAAGCGGTATTTTAGTTTTGAATAAAATACATCTTTGTGTTTAAACAATGATAAAATCAACTCATTCAAAGTGTTAGGGTGTATATAAACACATACATTCACACCACACAACTATGTACACAACATGCATACATAAACACATATTTAAGAAACTAGAGGTTTTCAAAGAGCCTTCACTTTTCCCATGTGACTTTTGGGTCAATTGAGAGAGGAATGCAAAATCATGTGAGAGGGAATTTGATTATCTTTTGTATCAGAGGTGAATGTTATATTGAAAGGCATGGCTTACGTGTATGGCAAATGAAGTTGAAAACCCCATAGTAAATAGTGAGGAACAGACCTGGGTACCTATTTTGTTCAGATAGACTTTAGTAAGAAAATGATAGAAGAGCTGATCAATCTGAGCACGCTCACTCTATTTATCCAGTTAAATTAATCACATTGCTCATATCTCACCTAGTCAAAAGAATAAAGGTTGATGACAGGGAAAGACTTATTCCAAATTTCCTTTACATGGACTATGACAATTCCAGAATAAGAGTCCACTCATGTGCATGTATTTGCATGGATTTTTATAAAGAGAAAACTCCTCCCAGTGTTTTCAATGTTCTCTGTTTTGGTTCAGAATTTCTTATTGACAGGGCTTAATGAGTGGATAGTGGAAAAATGTTGTATATATTATTTCTATAAAAACCATCTAATATCTTACTGTTTCTTTTTAGTATTAATCATATGAATTCATGGTATTCATATGACATTACAAGTCACTACTCTCACCTATAAGTAGATTAAAAATTAAATTAATGTCAGTGGGCCTTTTGTTTGTGACTACAGACTTTAGTGTCAAGAAGAAAAGCAATAGATTTTGCCTCATCTTTAACAAGCAAACTTATTTTTCAATAAAAAAGTGGAAAAGGTTTATAGAGAGTTTCAAACTTTGATTATTTTAGCATCAACATAGTTATTTATCTACAACTTATTCAATCGATAAATGTATCTCAATTCATTAATTATCTACTGGGTACCAGATAGTTCAGTAATTACTGAGACTACAAAAAGAGGATACAAGATATGGTATGTAAATTAAGGTGATTGCAATATAATCTAGTGAATGCTGAGAGGAATGGTTATTTTCTTTCTGTGTTATTAAAGGAATATAATCTAGGTCCTTCTATATAAGGGAGATAGGTTTGAAATGGGCATCATCATACTCTTTCCAGCCCCTCACTCTTCCACATAATAGAACTAATATGTTAGTACTAATTGGAATAAGAAAAATCTAGAATATTCACTGGCACATGGCTTTATTAGGAGGTAGAGTCACACTTACTAGTAAGGTCATGTGTTCTAAATCATTAACTCTTACACTGGAAACTGTGTGCCAGTCAAGCACTCAATACTCAAAGGAGCTGGATAGTAGCTATTTGACTTAATCTTTCATATTGATCAAATTCACCCACTTCTGATGGTCTACATTTAGACTTGGAGTAGGAGGCTTTATCATTATTTTTGGTATTTTACCCATTGTGTTAAGAAGTACTGAAGGTTAGGGATTATTGCAAATTTGCCTATAATAAAGCCAATATTTTTAATGTTTATTTTTCTTTATCTTTTTTCACTTTATATTTTATTAATTCAAAGAGAGCAATGTATGATTTGTATCAAATTAAAACATTCTAAGAAACAAACTGAATAGGGTAAATGTAAATTGAAAGTTGTAAATAAAAAATGGAATGTGTGTCTATTATTTCAAGTTAGGCTTTTTGCTGAAGAGTCTCAGGTCTGAGAATCAGAAGTACCTGGAAATGGTCATAGACTATATGGCAGGCAAAGTATTTTTGGCTATGTGGATAATAAGAATTAATATTTGTGCAGTACTTATTGCAGATTACTTCTATGCTAACTGCTTTAAATGTAATATGTCATTTGCACAACCAAATATGTATAACAGTGTTGAAAGTAACATCTTAATAAGTGTTTCAGATGTGCTAAGACTATTCTAAGTAATATAAGGAACGATCACATTTAGTTCCCCAAAGTGCTATGTGAGGTAAGTACAGTTATTATCTGTATTTAACAAGAGAAATATTGAGGCATAGAAATTAAGTAAATTGCCTAAGATTACACAGCTATTACTTCTAAGATGCTCTGATGTCAGAAGGTCTACTATAAAATATGATTTACAAACTCTCATGAACATATAAATGTAGCACAATTGATAATCTTAGCTTTAGAAATGACAGTTAGAAAACCAGAGAAATATCAGAGATTGGAGAAAAATGAAAACCAACTTTGAAATCTTGGAGATCAAACTAGTTTTATGTGAAAGGAAAAAAGAAATACACCCAGAATGATATAGCTGGAACTAACGGCTTTCAAATGTGCAGCTAGGAAGGAGGATATTTTATTCATGACAAAAATCAGTGAGGATTACTAGGGCTCAGAGAACTCTTAACAGAAGAAAAACAGGAAAATCTCAGAGAGTATACAAAAATGTTCCCCTAAAGGGAAACTATATCTAAAAAGTTATTGAGAGGCAGTATCTTAAAGTTAAGATAGGAAGTCAATAACAAAGCAGGCAACTAGAGAATATCTATCGCATGACTAGGATAGTTATATTTGCCACTTCCATCGCATTTGAATGAATCTGTGAAGGGAAAACTGGGAACTCCAGTTAGAATATCTCAGAAAATTGTGATTACAAAAGTTATACAGTTAGTATAGATCAAGTCTCAGATTTAAAAAGTAACAAGACATTTATATATAGCAAGTGACTCTTCATAATAAGTGAGTATCAAACTAAGTTAAAATTTGGACTATTGGAAGGATGCACCCAGTATAGAAGTATCCTACAAAGACAGGTTAAAACATCATAATTAGTTTCCACAATAGACATGTTGGGCTGGCCTACAACTTTTTTACTTTCCATTATATATTGCAGAAGAATTCACTAGGCTATTTTTGACATAGTATACTAACAAAGACTGTACTTTAAAAAGATTTTTCTCTTAAAGCAGAAAGAAAATCAAAGCATCTTCATCTTAAAAGATTTGTGTTATGAATATATATACAAACTGAATAAGGTCTAAGAAAGAAAATAAGGTGGTACTCAAAGACGAAGAATAAATCAAGTTAATCTGATAAAAGTATATAGGTAATAGAGAACTGAAAGCTGTTGGACATAACTGTTTTGCAATAGAACAGGTATGAATCAACTGTTGCCATAGTAACATTGCATAACAAACCATTCCCAAGCTCAGTGATTTACAGCACAATCATTTATTCTTATGCAGTTTGGCAGTCAACTGTGTTTCAGTTGACCTAGGATTAGTTTGGGTGATTCCTCTTCAGATTGTGGATCAATTACCTCTGCACTAGGCTGTGATTCGTTTTATTTTGGGTTCTAGATTGAAGGGAATGTGTCTACCTAAGGCACATGCCTCTCAGAATATAAAACCAGATCGCAAGTCTAGGTAAGAACTCTGTTTTGAAAAGAACCGTTAACTTTTCATTACCCAAAGCTGGTCAAATATTCAAAGTCAATATCAATGGTACAGTAATATATATTCCACTCTCAGTAGGATCAGAAATGAATAGATACTTGCTCAGTAATAATTTAGACTATTATAAGACAATAAAAGTTTACAGAAGGATAAAATTTCAAGGATTCTAAAACTAAGATTCTTTCAGATTGAATATCTATTCTGGATTAGATGAACCTTAGTCTCAGAAGACAGAGTTGATAGAGCCATTACGAAACACATGAATCTGGCAAATGGAGTCACAGATAGATACAAGGCTCACTGATATATTTAGAAACAAATGTGGTCAAAAGGACTAAGTCTTGGATCTCTTGTATTTAGAAAATAAATCCCAGAGCCATGGAGAAAAATCTGTGTTTAAATAGATCTAATCGTCTAGCTCAGTGGACTTTAAATTTCACTGAAGTGCTTTGATTAGATGAATGGAACTTACTCTACAGAGAATGAAACTATTGGGTCAAGGAGACAGTGGGTGCTGTGGGAATTAAATAAGGATATTCAAAGACAATTCAAGTGACAAATGAGAGTGGGGTAACATTGAGTAGATATTGGAGAGCGTAAAATTAACAGCTTTAGGCAGTCTGAAGTAATGAATTATAAACATATATTGACCTCATAGACAATACAAACAGAAGTTGTTAGAGGTTAGGTGATGACACTGTCAAAAGTATGTAGGACTATAGGAGAAAATAAATGAAGGAAGGAAGAGAGGATAGAAATGGGCATGAAAGGAAGAAAGAATAGAAAAAAAGGAATAAAAAAGCCAGGAAAACTGATGGAAAATTTAGTTAACTCTAAAGATAGGTTAAAGGTAGACCTTTTTAGTTTTTTAACACTAAGTTGACAAAAAAGTATATAACTTAAAAATGGTAAGTGTGTGCATATGTAAATATATATATAGGAAGAGAGTAAACTGATAACTTCCAACTTCTTAAAATCTACTAAACTGAAAAAAAAGTGTTTTCCTTTGTAAAAGTGATCCAAAATCAGTAACTGTAAAAAGATTATTTATAAATATGCTCATATTTAAAATAACTTTTACTCATTAAATGTGCATATAAAGAATAGAAAGATAAAGAGTGGAAGAAAATAATATTTGTAATGTGTATATCTGTTTATAATATGGAAAAAACCCTAATACCTAGAAAATATAAAGCTATATTTAAGAAGAAAAAGCTTCTCCTGATCCTGGTTTAAGAAGGAAAAAAAAAAGGAGAAAAAGCTAGACTATCAAAAAAAAGATAAAAAAAATACTTGAGCAGGCAACTCATGTACACATTTGTGCACACACGCATTAAAGAAAATAAATGTCTACATGAAAAGACATCCAATTCATTAGAAATAAGAAAAATACAAATTAACATAAAAAAATAATATTTTACTCCCATCAGGGTGGGGAAAATGTAAAATCCTAAAAATGCCAAGTGCTGGCAAGCATGTTATATACTAGAAAATTCCAAATATTGATAGAAAAAATTTTGCATCAGTTTTGAAAAATTACATAATTTTATTTATGAAATTTAAAGGTTAACATAGCATGTAACTCAGCAATTTAACTTCTATGTATATGTCATAAACTTGTACTACTCAATAAAGTAGCCAATAGCTGCATGTGACAATTTAAATCAAATCAAATTAAAAATTTAATTACTTAACTTGGTTACACTTACCACATTTTCAGCACTTGTTAGTGACATATGGTTTGTGGTTACCATTTTTGACTGCACAAATAAAATTATTTTTAACATATGAACACTGAGACATTTACAAGAATAGTCTTTGCAATATTATTTATGACACACATAAATGGAAATAACACAAAGGTACAACAATTTTAGAATGTATGAGATTGTTGTAGTATATCCATACAATTCCATACTCCATAAAAAAAATGTAAGATAGTGCTACACACGAGAGTGGATAAATATTTAATGAATACAATTGTTAAAATTGCATTCATATAAAAGTCAACCAAAGGACAAAACAAAACAAAACAAAATTCTGTTTTATTGATTGGCATGGAACACATGGATGGAAAATTACCTAAAAACTTAAGAAATGATATACCTAGACCTGCACACACACACACACACACACACACAGAGAGAGAGAGAGAGAGAGAGAGAGAGAGAGAGAGAGAGAGAGAGAGAGAAAGTAAGAGAGGGAGGGAGAGAGAGAGAGAATAAATATGAATATATGAACAGAGAAAAAAGATAATTAATATGAATATATATAAATGGTTGTATAGTGATTATGAGAGGGATCCATATTATCCCAAACTTTCCAATCTCAGATAACTGTCTGGAATTGTGATAGAGGAAAAAGTAAGGTTTTTTTTTTTTCAGATATATTAAGTTTAAGGAAAGATTAGGATATACAAGTCAAAATACTCATCAGGCAGCTGTAAATTTAAAGCTGGAATCACAGAGATTGGTTTGGACTGAAATGGTAGATTTAAGTAAGGGATCAGCCATAAGTGATAACAGTTGATTCTGTGAGATTAGGTGAAAGTCTTAAAAACTACGGTCTAGGAAGAACAAGTCATAAAAGGAGACAGAATGGAAAGACAAATCCTCTTAATGGACTTGTAACAGGCTGCCCAGAGACGTTAACTCTGCGTGTATTCAGTGCACCAGTGCCATAGCTTTCCCACGTTGCAATGAAATAAATGAATCTGAATCTCCTCAGCTTCTGGGAAGAAAAATTGACATTGAACTCTGCATGTTCATGTTCAATTCTTCTTTTTTTTTTTTTTTTAGCGACAAGAGAAATAATTCCTAATATTTCAAAGTCAGCTAAAACTTCATTTTCCAGTGCCCCCTGGTCTAATTCAGGTATGCTAATAATTCTCTTTTACTTCTTGGTAGCAATAAGCATAGATTGAAATAAGAAATCTACAGTATGAACATTATGGCTTTACTATGATTGCCTCCATTAAATTCTACAAAAGCGAGGAAAGTATCATTTTATCTCACCATTTTATCACTGGCTTCCATGCAAAAGAGATGCAAAATATGTACTTGTTGAACCACCATTCAACAGAATAAATTATTAGTTAGAACCTTGCCTATTGTCATGTGTGGCACAGCTATGTAAAAATTTCTTTCGGTCATGTATTGACTACTTGACAAAGAAATGTGTATAAAGAAAAGCAGGGATCCAATAAAATAAATCCTTTTTTTACTTCTGAGGTATTTCTGGACATTTTCTATAATCATGAATATATGTACATACAACTCTTATTTCTACAGGGTGCCGACACAGGATATAAATGCACACGTAAAAAAAGAGGAGATTCAGGTCTAGGTAAAAATGTAGACTATAAATAAATTGAATTCAGAAGTCCTTGTCTTCTCTTTCATGTTTTTCCGCCTTTAAAGGCTGGAGCTATCACTCATAAGAGCGTTTTACCTTATCTTTTTAATTGTAGAACAGGTGGTGATAAAATAATTGAGCATCTCTGAGAAGTGGGCTTTAAGTTCCAGGAAGGTTTCCTAGGGATGAGATATATATATAAAACACGATTTTCTTTGGAAGAAGGGAATGTATTGTGGATACGTTTCAATTCATTCCTTATTTTGTGGATATCAATTCTGAAAAGAAAAAAGACTGCTTTTAGAATTTTGGAAATATTATTCATTTTTTTCCTTTGTAATTGCAGGGTAACTGTTGATAATTGTTGTACTAAGCCCGTCATTAAAGGTTTACAAAATTAAATGTGAAGATTAGGCGTTTACCAATTCCCAGGCTTAGAAATAATCCAGTATGTACATAAATTGAAATTGGCATATACATGCTTTCTACTCCACCAGATGTTCTGAGAAGTCTTTGGAAACTTGGGGATTATCACCATAATATTGATTTGGTAAAACTCATTTGGCTAGATTTGTTAGAATAAAAAGGTTTGTTCAGGATTTTTTGACAAGGAAATTTAGAAAAACTTGTATAAGTGACACTGTATGTCTTTTAAGGTATTTTGTGTTCTTTCTGCTAAAATCCGATGATACAGGGTAGTATATTTCTGACTTTCATTTTGCATAAAAATTACAATTTTCTCAAACATTATTTAATATTATATATAAATTAAATTTAAAGAAAGAACAGTGTTCAAAGTTCTATAACCAAGTTGATCAGAAGATATTTATACTTTTATAAATATCTATGTAAGATTAGGCCTGGATGGACAGATTTTTGTAGAAACACTCTGGGTTTCTACAAATTCTGATATAATGTGACAGTTGTGTAATGACTGATGCAAGAATTACACAAAGAGAAAATATTTGAGATAGGATAATCGATTGTTGTATTTTCTTGTTGTGATGTTAGAGATGAGTAACTGAATATTATCTTAGATATTGATGAAGATAATAAAGCTAAATCATGCGTTGTAATTTTATTTTCTAAAGAGGAATTATATAAAAACTGTGGGCAATGGCCTGGATAATTTGCTTGTAGGAGCCAGTCTTCAAATCAGTGAATTCAGTTTTACATCCTTTTAATACTGAAATTTCTTGTTCCTTGGTTACCAATGGTAGTGAGAAATTGCAAAATAACCAGAGACATGTTCCTTGACTAAGTATTCAGACTCTTTTCTAATCACAGACATCTATGTCTGACCTAATGGGCTATGCTATTACTAAAAGTGAATGTCACAATAAAGGCCTTCTACTAATCCTGCTGTTTTATACGGTTTGTTTGCTTGCTTTGCCTATTTTTTTTATATCTATCATATCTATTCATTTATGCAATGATTTGAGGTAGCATAAATTTCAATAAAAGCAACTTTATCAAATAAGAAATATAAAGGACAACAGGAAACTCAGTTAAAGTACTTATTTTGAGCTTTATCGTGTACAAGTTAAGATGAAAACATAGCTTTGTGTCACAGGAGAAAGTTTGTCAGCTATTTATGAAACTATTATTTTCCAGAGATGCTAAAGAAAAACATCTCATGTAAATATTTACGTTTCAGCAATTTTAACGGGATACTTTTAGCAATACAGATATAAATTTCAATTATTTAAATAGTCTCAATATGTGAAATTCACTGAAACCAATTTTATAATGTATGTAGATTTATCTATGCACATTTGCAATGCCTTTTTTATTGCAAGTCAGTTAGAGAAAAAATATGCATCGTTTTTCTTTATTCTATCTTCAGACTACAAGTTGTATTGGGAATATTAGGTGTGAATATACAGCCTAGAATTACAGCCCTGAAGAACATGCTAAAGTGACTGAAAGTGCTTATTGTTTTAGTATCCTAGCTGTTGGAAACTCTTTACAAACTACTTATGACTGCCTTCTTGTGGATATGCTAAATTATTGGTTATGTAGTATTTTATGCAAAAACTAGATTATATTCTTTGAGTACCAGAAGATGTTTATTAGCAGAAGGTAAACAGGGTTGAAATTAAAATCAAAATTTTATAAGAAGTTATGAAGAAAGACCAATTTATAATTATTAACAGCAGGACCCAGCAACTTCTTAAAATTTCAAGTAAATTATTTTAGGGCCTTAATATATCTGGAATATTTATCAATTTAGTTTACTTAGGTACTTATATAATTTTTAGTATTGGACACAAAATTGATACTTGCTTTTAAATATAAATGAACACACTTTATATGTAGAACAGTTTTAGAGTTATAAAAAATATTACAGGTACTAAAAAAAGTTTCTATATAAAAATATGAGAATTTCGTTGATTTTTCTCAAACTTCATTTTGAGTAATCATCGAAGGCATTCCTGGAGGTGAAACCCACAAAAATATGAATGGTAACATCTAGACGTTCATTTATGAGTATTTGATTTTATTCACTCTTTTGCTTTCTTCTTAACTGAGCACATGAGGAATTTATAAATATATTTTTTGTTGTAAAGACTATATTTTTGACTTAGTCATCCTTTCTATTATTTTTTATTATTTCCTATTTCTTTAATTTTAAATTTTAACAAAATTATTTCTTCCTTTTTACCATCTTGGCTACTGCAGTAGCCTTTTTACTAATTCCTTAAAATTAATATTAAGATTTTTTTATTAAGTTATGTGTTTCTATTGAACAATTATTTTTTTTTTAATTCTTTAATCGCAGCTTTTGCTGAGAGCCATAGATTCATAGATTTTGGTTTTAAATGTTCTGATTTTGATGTGTTTTTTTGATACTTGATAATTGCCTCTTTATTCATAGGTTCTTTGATCCATGAGTTATTTACTATATATTTTAAATTTTAATATAGAATAATTCCTTCAGTTTTATTACCCATTTTATATTCTATTGAACAATATTTAGTGATTATGTCCTACAGCTTTTGTATTTGTAAAATGTATTAGAATTTTATCTGTGATTAAGTGGGTGACTTTTATTTAATATTCCCAAGATATTTTAAAAGTATTTCTTTTTTTATTTGAAATATGTATACATATAAATTTATTAGATAGAGCTGGTTACATAATTTATTTACTTTCATTTCGATAGCTCTAGTTGTGAGCCAAGTATGTGAGAATCTCTGTATAACTGCGTACTCCTCACATTTTAATTCTGTTTTTATCCTTTCATCATTAGTTAGTTGTTCTATCTTCCTTAAGAATAGTGACTTTATATTTTAATTTTTCAAACTCTTTATTGTGAAATGAACACAGATTCAGAGATTCACTTAACAAAAATGTATATCTTAATGAATTATTATAAGGTGAGCCCTTGTGGAATTATAACCAAAAAAGAAATAACGTGTTGCTGACTATCCAACAATGATCTCCCTTCCCTCAAAATTGATCACTATCCTGAATTATATAGAAACTACTTCCTCATATTAATATAATGCAAGGAAGCTTAGAAGCGTCCATTGGGAAGGAAAAAAAAAAGATTTGTCTGTCATCTCTTCATTCTATATATCAGTATCTATCACATTAATTTTCTTAATATTTATCTGTTGCATTATCCATTTGACCTGGGGAGATTTTTATAGGCCAGATGTTGCTGAGTGCAAATTCACAGTGCAGTTCAGTTTGTAGCTCAGACCTCTGTGTCTCCTGAAATCAACAGCTAAATCTAGATCATTGGTCTAATTACAGTCCCTCTGTCAAGACATTGGGAAAATGATTTTCATCAGAAAAATAATTCTAATTATCCTCATGTTTTTAATATCAGCAAACCATTGAAGCTCAATGCCTAGATATATTAATTCATTAGGGTTTTCAATATAGTGATATTATAATTGAACTATTCCTTTTTCATTCATTAGTTGAATTTAGTTAATACATAGTCACAATTCCTATACTATATGGTTACAGAGTGATATAGAAATACAGACTAAATGATTCATTGATTTTCTTTTTTTTTATTGCAAGTTCAGTTTCAGACTACCACAATAAAGCAAATATTGCCATAAAGTGAGTGATTTTCTTTACTAACTTTTAAGATAATAATTGATTCCCTATTATCCAAATATAGGCTTTTAAAAATCATTGGCAGAGAGCACAATTAAGCATATTAGATTGGTTTCAGTCCATTATAACCATTATTGTTCTTGAAGCATTTTGATCAGTGGAGCCTGTTCAATACAGGAGTTTATATATATTTATTCATTTCTGCTTTATTCCTAATCTTGATATCTTATTGTTTTTAAAAATTATAATTTTTACTCAAGTTCTGTAATGTTCTGTGAATTTGCCTCACTCTTACTTCTGTGAACTCTGTGAGTTTGTCTCCCAAAGTTACTCTTTTCATGTCTTCTTTATTTTATTCAGATTTGTTAGCCTGTGATGAAATAGCAGGTAATGTTACCTACATGCTTTGCACAGGCCTCTGGTGTATTCTCGTCTGTAGGGA